AATGTATTAAAGGAGGTGGGTGATGCCATGAATGCAGAGTAAAATAGGGTAGTACAGAAGATGGTGGTGAAAATTAATTTGGGATGACAATGTAATGTAATGCAACATGGCATTTGATATATGATATGGTCTTTTTTATTTTTATGTTTCATTTTTTTTCATGTAATAGAAGAGACACTGATTTTTCTGTCTAGGATAGAGTGTTTCATCTAGACAGGAATTATTTTTATTTCAATGTTTGATAAACAGAGGTCCTATCTCTAGCTAGATTGAATTATGGAGTATTAGAGAGTGACAGTAAATTTAATGTAACTTCGGGTTTGAATAATCGAGTTTTAAAGGTTGGTTATACGCATTAATGGATAACATTGTCGTTACGTGTTTTTTGTTTTTCCACCTTGTGTAAATTATTACTGTATGATACTCTCGTAGTAGTGTATACGTACCATTTTTTTTTTTAAACGAGCATTCTTACAAAATTATGTTATAGTAAATGAAGAAAACATTGATTTTTGGTACGTGATGAAAAAATGAAAGAGGGAATTCAGGAAAATATCTAGCAATATGGATTTATGGTGGATTGGTGGAAAGATGATTTCATTAAAAGTAAGATTGGTCCCTACTGTGGCTCGCAACTTGCATGTAGGAATTGAGTTAATGACCTCATCTGAGGACCGCCTGCCACCTCTGGGTTCTTGCCAATGACAAATCGGCTAACTTTATGAAAGTGTTGAAAAGTAAGGGTATATTTGGTATTTGTAGTGTGTACAAAAGTACTTCTTTTTCTAACATAAAAATGGTGCAATATTTGTAATAATCTTCTAAGCTCAACAATTTCATAAGTTAGCCAATTTGAAATGAAATTATAATATTGGATTATATATACAATTAAACTAGTTTACGTCCGTAATTTGTAATTTTAAATTTTATACTTCCTCCGTTCTTTTTTTATTGTACCATTGGAGGTTGGCACAAGATTTTTGGTAGTGGAAAATAAGATGAGAGAGAAAGGTAAAAATACAAGATTGTCCATGTAATGGTATTCATAAACTAAATAATCATGTGTTGAAAAGTAAGGGTATATTTGGTATTTGTAGTGTGTACAAAAGTACTTCTTTTCCTAACATAAAAATGGTGCAATATTTGTAATACTTCCTTAAAAAGCAAGTGGTGCAATATTTAAAAAAAAAACGGTGGAAGTACTATAAGTGAAAAATCACGAGTTAAAAAAAACAAAAATCACATTGATAATTCTTTAGCAGATTATCATTGGGTTTGGGCTCATGATCATATAAAATGATATGGGCCTGAACCTCCACGATCTCCTTTATTGGGCTTCCAATTATTTTTGTAATTCCTTTACGGTCTTCCACGAAAAAAAAAATTAAAAATTAAAAAAAAAAAAAAAAAATTGGAAATAAAAAAATCGTCGACAGCAGGGTTCGAACCTGCGCGGGCGAAGCCCAACAGATTTCAAGTCTGTCTCCTTAACCACTCGGACATATCGACTCTTGTGTTTGGTTTGTCGCTTCTAATTTATATAAATATTTTGCACGAAAATATGACATTTTTTTGAAGTCAATTTCTTATGAAGCATATAATTGATCAAACGATTACATAACAAAGTACTTTGTATCAATTATCTCATCTACCCTCTCATATCTTATTACTACGTATTTCAAAACGATCTAAATTCAAAAGTAATAAGTACTCCGTAAATTTTATAGAAATGAATTTCTTAAGAAGCATATAATTGATCAAACGATTACACAATATTTTGTATCATTCATCTCATTTACCCTCTCATATATTAATATTTTAGGAACAATCTAAATTTAGAAAGTAAACCTTGTTTTGAGATGGAGGATATTAAACTGTAGTCTATCTTTAATTTCAACTAGTTAGGATTTTTATTAAAAAAAAAAAAAAAAGTTTTCCAAAACTAGTGTCAAAAACTGGCTCGATCCGACCCGACCCGAAAAAACGCAGTTCATATATCGATACGTATAGACATACTAAATTACTAATATAGCATGATTCAACTTTAAAATAGGTTCGACATAACCTGACTGAACCTCACCAAATTAACACCACTATCTATAATATGCATATATGCTCATAATGCATATAGTTAGTAAATGTAAACTAGCTAACATACTAAGGTGATACGCAACACATGGGATTGAATCTTGTTTACCTCAATGTCCTAGGCATGCCTTTTTTTATATCTTCATTCAACCTATAGGGTTTCCCATTCCAGCAACTATATACACTACTTTGACCGAAAGTAAAGTGTAAGATAAATAAACTTCATTACATTAAGAAATCTTGAATTCTAAATTTCTAATAAGTTTTACTTGTAACTTTTACCCACCTTCTTCCAAACTAGAAACAACCTATAGTAATTAAAGAAACAACACAACAATAATACAGTAAATTAAACAAATCAAAACCTAGCAGAAAGATTCAAAGGTACTACAGTAACAAATTTTCACCATATGAATTGGTGCAGATTTGCAGAAGGCATACACGTTTACAGTTTACTAGGTATGCCTTCCAATTACTGCAATTTGACTCTTGTTTTTACCTAATTACCTCATAGTAAATGCGACCACCTACTAGTTTATTTATGAAAGCATGTCCAATAAATTTAACATACCACTTTTTTTAATTGCTAGTACTAGAATTTTTTTCATAAAATTTTCTGTGTTCCATCATATTCAGAGTTATATATATATATACTTCTTAACTTTTACTCATTCTCATCAAATAAGAAAAATAACCCCTTATTTTCCCCTTCATTTTATTTTTCTCTTCTATGGAGTTACTTTCAATCCTACAAAATTTTCACAACTTACCAATATTAGAACATCTCAAGTTCTTAGCAACTTTAGTCTTTGCTTCATTTAAATCATTTCTAATTCTCCTAGAATATGATATATTTTTCCATATTATTATTCTAACTGTATGCATAATTTCATACATTATAGCTTATTATTTTCATTCAAAACCTCCTAACATATACCTAGTAGATTTTTCATGTTATAAACCTCCAAATTATTGTAGAATCCCACTTTCTTCATTTATAGAACATGTTCATCTAATCAACTACTTTAACAAAGAAAGTGCGGAATTTATGTCCAAGATCCTCAATTCTTCGGGCCAAGGCCCAGAGACTTATCTCCCACCACCTTTGCATTACATTCCTCCTAAGCCCGCCCATTACGACGCCATCGAAGAGGCTAAAATGGTCATTTTCCCCATGATGGAGGATCTTCTACTAAAGTCCAATCTCTCTTCTCTTGACATTGACATTCTCATTGTTAATTGTAGTGGGCTTTGCCCTTCTCCTAGTTTAACATCATTAGTTGTTAACAAGTTCAAACTAAGGCCCAATGTTAAGAGCTTTAATATCTCTGGAATGGGCTGTAGTGCTAGTATGATTGCTTTGGGCCTGGCCCATAACTTGCTCTTGGTCCATCAAGAGTCGAATGCGGTTGTTTTGAGTACTGAGATCCTAACTACGGGTTGGTATTCGGGTAATGAACGGCCCAAATTGGTAATAAACTGCCTCTTCCGAATGGGTGGGGCGGCCATTTTGTTGTCAAATCGAAAACTGGCCCGGAAGAAGTCCAAATACCAAGTTATTTGGACTTCAAGGGCCCAACAAGCCATCAATGATTGGGCCTATAAGTCAGCATTTCGAGAAGAGGATTCTAATGGGCTTACTGGGGTTACTCTTAATAAGGACATCTTAGAAGCTGCTTCGGATATGATCCGGGCCCAACTAATCGCTCTCGGATCCTTTATGTTGCCTACTTGGGAGAAGTTAAAGTTTGTTACATCTATTGCTAAGAAGAAATATTGGAAGAAATCAGCTGAGATTTATGTGCCAAATTTCAAAACGATCATCCAACATTTTTGCTTGCCGGTATCCGGAAAGCCAGTGATAAGGGAGATAGGGAAAGGGCTGAGATTGGGGGATAGAGAAACGGAGGCAGCTTTGGCTACATTGCATAGGTTTGGGAACCAGTCTTCTTCTTCTTTGTTGTATGAATTGGCCTACATTGAAGCTAAGGAGAGAGTGAAAAAAGGAGATAGAGTTTGGATGCTTGGGATGGGAAGTGGGCCTAAGTGTACTAGTATTGTATTAGAATGTATTAAGCCCATTATTGGTGAGTCCAAGAAGGGCCCATGGGCTGGATCCATATATAAGTATCCAGCATTAGCATTTAATAGTTGAGATTTGAGAATAATCTCTTCAGACATCAATATATCAGTATTATAATATGCTCTATTTAAAATGTGCAGTACTGAATACTTATAGAAGAATGTATGTGTACTGTAATTTTGAATTGTTGTAACATGTTGCACATAAAAACTTTATCTAGTAACACTCTTTTTAAGCCTTGTAAATGAACGTCTACTATTAAAATAAACAAAAATTCAACCAAAAAGTAAAACCAACGATCTTACAAGGATGAGTGGACAACAAAGTTTCATCCCAAAACTAATTCTTCATATAAATCAAATTATTCATACATGTATCCTATAATTTTCGCCAAGCCTATTCACTCTGCTTTAAAAGAAATGGATCGCCAATACACCAAACAATATACAAAGTGACCTTATATGGCTATATGTAATAGTGCTCACTTGTGAACCATTTAGTCTTTGGGCAGGGTGAAGAAACAAAGAAATAATGGAAGGATGGATACAAACAGGAGAAATGATCTTTTTTCTATTGCTTTCTTAATTTCTGTTTGGTACCATGTCTCTTTATATGTCTTATCCGTTGTCTTTAGCTTTCCTTATCACATCATTACAATCCCTATTTCACAAACTTAACAAAAACTAACCAGAACTTGAAAGTTTTGACCAACTAATTAGTATTAACACCAAAGTATGAGGTTTTGGCTGTGTACAACATCTTAAATTCAAATTTAAATGTAAATTATTGGGGATAATATAGCAAAAATCCTCTTTGTATTCAAGTTATACTACCATACACAACCTCATAAAAAGTTCATATTATAGAAATGAAGAAATTAGTGTGTCACAATAAGTAACAAAGGTGGTTGAATGTGAAATTTAGATTTTGAATCAGGAAAGGCATAAAAAAGCAAGCTAGAATGCATCATGGTTTTTAATCAATCTATTGATTCTATAAGCTTTCTACTATTGTAGACTGTACTCACTATAGTACTAGATACCGAAGTGAGTAACTACTAGTTAATCTTAAAGACCAACAAAACAATTCAATCTCATATTTACGCTAGTCATAGATATGTATGGTAACCATTCAAATATTATCGTGGTTATTAACTTTGACAATACCTTGGATAGCCGTGGACTGTGGCGGTACTTCGAACACGCCTCTAGTGGTGGTGATCGGGGATTAGCAAAATTTTCTGGAGCTCAACCTATCAGTTCCCTTCACAGTTTTTCAATTTAAGAGTTAGTTTTCAGGTTTATATAGAGAAAGTAATATTAATTTCAAAAAAAATGTTATTCAAACTTTATTAATAGATAAGCCGTGAAGCAACAGGTAGACTTCCACTGTTCCACATCTATATAACATGTGTATGTATGGCCTAATGTTTTTAAAAGAAGAGCAAAAAGTACAAATGGCTAATGTCTGTATTCCTTTATACTTTCTGCTCCTCCTCATACACCTATTTGGTTTTATTATTCCTACAACTTCCCTACAAAAACCAGCAATACCACCACCTTTGCCAATCCTACCACTCCCTTCATACTCCCAACTAAAATGGCAACAAAGAGAGATAATAATGTTCTTCCACTTCGGTGTCAACACCTTCACTGACTCCGAATGGGGCACCGGCCATGAATCACCAGCCGTTTTCAACCCGACTCGACTGAACCCTGACCAATGGTTCAGGGTTGCAGCTGAGGCAGGGATATCATTGGCCATTCTTACAGCTAAGCACCACGATGGGTTCTGTTTATGGCCTTCTAAGTACACTGACCATTCTGTTGCCCAGAGCCCTTGGAAACAGGGTCATGGGGATGTTGTTCAGGAGTTTGTTACTGCAGCCAAGGCTCATGGAATTGATGCAGGGCTGTACCTTTCCCCATGGGATAGACATGATAAGAGATATGGCAACGAGAAGGCGTATAATGAGTACTACCTTGCTCAATTACAAGAGCTTCTAACCAGGTAACTAAGTCCACTATTGAAATTACTCACTAGGTAGCTATGTTACTTGGACTCGGAAACTCATCAGACTAATTAATGTGAGTTGTTCTGTCATCACAGATATGGAGGTATCAAAGAAATTTGGTTTGATGGAGCCAAAGGTTCTAATGCACCAAACATGTCCTACTATTTTTGGGATTGGTTTGCAATGGTTAAGGAGCTCCAGAGTTCAATCAACATATTTTCTGATGCCGGTCCAGACGTCAGATGGGTGGGAAATGAAAAAGGATTTGCTGGGAACACATGCTGGTCTACAATTAAAAGGACATGGTTGTCAATCGGCAATGCCAGTATTGTTGAGTGAGTATTCCTTATGCATAAATGGTAAAACAAAAGTAGTATGGTTTATTACTCATAGTAGAAATTTGATTGAATGGCTTCAAACCATCCCAATCATTTTCCACTTCTCCAGATGCAGCAAATATACTGTCTTACAGGAATGCTAGTATATCAAAAAAAGAATGTTTATTTTTCTGGTTTATTTTGAGTTTATAATTTTGTATCATGCAAATATGGTTTATGTGATGTTTGTGTCATCAACAACTGATTTCTGTTACAAGTGCAGCTATCTTAGCACTGGAGATTCTGAAGGAACAGACTGGTTACCACCAGAATGTGACGTATCGATTCGACCAGGGTGGTTTTGGCATAAATCTGAAGAACCAAAGAAGCTAAGTGAGCTCCTAGAAATATACTACAATTCTGTAGGAAGAAACTGTGTACTACTACTAAATGTACCACCAAACTCCAGTGGTCTCATCTCCGAAATTGACATCAGACGGCTGACAGAGTTCCGAAATGCAATCAACACAATTTTCTCTCAGAATTTAGCGCAGAAGTGCTTAGTTAAATCAAGTAGCCAAAGGGGGGAAAAGGAAGTAGTTTTGGACCAGAAAATGTGCTCGATCAGGACCACTTATGGACTTATTGGGCACCTAGTGAAGATGACAAGGAAGACAAATGGATTGAGATAAGGGCGGATAATCAAGGGCTTAGATTCAATGTAATCATGATCCAAGAGGCAATCGGGCTAGGTCAGAGGATCCAACAGCATGAGATATACGTAGACGGAAAGCAGGTTGCAAAAGGGACAACCGTAGGGTATAAAAGGCTTCATTGGTTGGGAGTTGGGGGTGTGCATGCCAAGAGGGTGAAGATCAGGGTAGTAAAGTCACGGGACTTGCCTTTGATCTCTTCTGTTGGATTGTTTCTCGACCCTTATAATCATCCCAATGAGATTTGAGTGAAAACAAGAATTATGTGCTTTCTTCATTGATTTAGGTGAATAATGACAACATAAGGCAACAAAATGTTTCACAGACGTACACAAAATTAATGGGAGCTTTGTTTTACTCAATATTCCTGTCTTTGTCTATCTGTATATCCAAACTCCCAAAAAAGATTTAGGAAGTGCAAGGAAACTTCACAAGGTTTACCTGTGTTGGTTTTCCAAGTGGTATTTGAAGCACTCCTACAATAAACTTGGCTAGAAGTGGACATTATCTACATGCGCAAGGCCCCCATATCATCCGGCCATTACATGCACTCGCGCATGTAAAGTGTGGGCGCGTGCACTTGTTAGTTCCTAACTCAATCCATACTACAAACTACAAAGTACTTATTCTTCATGCTTAAATTTTATTTTTCCTATAATGGAGTCACGGGAGTACTTATTTTTAACTCTAATATGGAATATAGTGTAAGCATCCCAATAACTCAATGAGAGTTAAATGAAATCCAGCACTTTTTACATTTTACAGTAAACTCTTCTATAATTAAGGTGAACAATAACACTAAAAAAGTACTACTCAAAAAAGCAATGAAATGTGTAGCAGAAGTCTACAGAATTAGTGAAACACACGTGGAGTTGTTAGGATCATGCTATACTGTCGGTGTGTGAGTGTAACTGTCAGTAATCACTAATCAGTATCACACTTGACTTTATAAGATTCCCATGAATGAAGATTATGATTAGGTAATCCGTAGAAAAGGCTCTAGAAGATAAAAAGTGCAGAGATAAAAAAATAAAATGAACTGTTATTTCAATAAAGAAGATGTACTCAAAAGAAGAAGAATAGGAAGAACAAATTATGTGCGAAGCATGAGCAGGTTTTAACCTTCCTAACGAATGGTGTAAAAAGGCAATGGAACAATCAATTTGAGACAAAGGGGAATGTAGCAATATAGTAATGACACGCTCACAGAAAACCATTTACAGAGTATTATTGAATTTGCTATAAATGAGGTATAGAGAAATCCATATCAAACAGCATTTTATTTGCTTAGTCAATGTGTGATAAAAAGAGTGCTTTAAATTAGTCACATTACAATCATATTATCATATACTTTCACCTTTTTCTTTCAAGTGGCATATGTTTACTCTCATTCCCAAAATAGGTTCATGATCTCTACATTGTACTATACATTTCTTCTACTTCCTCCGTTTATTTATTATTGCACCATAGGGGTTGGGTACAAATAGTTTGGTAGTGGAAAAAAGTAAGAGAGAGAAAGGTAAAAATACAAAATTGCCCATGTGACATATTAATAAACTAAAAAGTAAATGTGGAAAAGCAAGGGTATGTTGGGTATTTGTAGTGTGAACACAAATAATTTTTTTCCTAAAGAGGAAATGGTGCAATATTTGTGAAACTTCCAAAAATGGCAAGTGGTGCAATAATAAAAGAACGGAGGAAGTATATTTTTTTGGCATTTTGAAGGTCACTGTCTTATGCTTATAGCTAGTTACATTTTGTTGTTTGACATTCTAATCATATAATAGAGTAAGACTATTGGTTAATTGTAGCCATTAAACAGGGGTAGACTCAGAACAAGAAGGTCATACTTTTCCTCAATATTTCTAACTTTTTTCACTCTTAAAAGATAAAGATCGTACTTTATTTTATTTAGCGCCTAACATTTAGGTATAAAGAGTTTAGCTCTTTATTTTCTCTTTTCCTTTTATTTACCTTTCACTTCACTTTTCTATCATGAAGGCAATGCAAATGTTAATCGTGCTACCATTATGAAAACAACCATGGTCTACCTCCATCCCAGGGCAGGGGAGCCAATAATGACATGCACTTCATATAGTGAATATTTTACATCTGTCACAAATTTCAGATGAAATTCATGAACTTAAAAACCATTATACTTGCAAGATGGTTCAACCATATATTTTAAAAGGATTAAGGGCATGACCTTTCATCAGAAAAGATTCAGGAACTGAAATTCAAACATACTTACTTGAAAAGTGATCAGGACAACTTCCTTTGCACCTAGGTCTCACATAGTTTCTTTCAACTATATCCTCCAGATTCAAGCTTGTGAGAACTTTGGAGGTTTAATTTGTCACACTTTTACAGCTTTAACTTGCCTTCACTGGAAAGGAGCCAATTTCTACTCCAAACAATTAGAGCATCCTAAACTCTCTCAACTAACACCAAAAAAAACAGAACCATAAGATAAGATCAAGATGAGGATAAGTTGTAACTCTTAAAAGAGCGAGAAAAAAGCTGAAAGACTGTCAAACATACAACAAACAACTCGATACCAATAATACCATGCTTTGCTAGACAACAATCAGCTTCACGCACCAATTAGCTGTCTGTTATAGACCAGGTTTCTGACCCCAAGATTAACACAAAGAATATTAATTTAAGGCTAAAAGCTTGAACATTTGATTGATTGAAGGTTGGATTACATAAGGATAGTCATAACTTGAGGTTATGAATCTCTCAGTAGCTTTAGGCTACAAATCTCTCTAGTAGCTTGAGGCTACAAGTCTCTCAAGAGGTTCACTCAATTTCTGCCTACCTTCTATGTTGCACATACTAACTTACTTATACTAAGGTTGACCTTAAAGCTTACATGTGACTACTTAACAAAAATGGAAAAACCATAATAAAACATACAAAAAGCTGATTGCTTTCTTTCCTTCTCTTCTTCTTAATTAAATTTGTCTTTTACTTAATTACCCCCTAAAGTCGGTCTATTACACTGTCTCGCATGCTTCTACGTGCAGAGAGCACTAAACTTGCAAATATCAACCAAGTTTGCTACGCTACTCTGAATCAAAGCAAAATGTCAACATTTCATACCCTGATAATATGTTTGGCATGCTTCTGTGTGCAGAGGGCAATAACTGTACAGTAGATAATCTCATAATCTTGAATGAGGTCATATTCTGTGAAATTTGGAGGCTGCATCAGAATTGATTCAGTTATCAGAGCAAATCTATAAATAACAAGAAAGTCAGATCATCATTATATGTCAAACAGGCACAAAACATTTGCTTGTTGCATCCACCTCTCAGCAACTTCTACATGAAAGCAATTGCAAAACATGCTAATTGTGTAGCAGTGTTATCAAACTAAAGATCAAGTCATCTAATTTACAAGCTAAAAAGTGATGCTAACTAGAAACAATACTTTTGAGCCCGAAACAAGGAACGGCAAATATTTTGCTTAAATGACCAATCCCAGCACTTACAATTTTAATCGTCTAACACTTCCATCTTCTGTTTAGAAATTGAAATAGCATCTAGCAACACTAGCACAGACTGTTTATTGTGAAAGCAACAGCTGGTTCTCATCTAGATTAGAGCTGTAGATGTGGACGATGCATTCTCATTCATGATTTAGAAACCTGTCCAAGTCCAAGATAGCTTCATTGAAGATGTTTTAAGCATGAAATTCGTGTCAAAGAAGCAGTCAAGCAGTGTACTACTCAGACCAAGAAAAGTACTCTATTATGGAGCTACACAGTATCCTTTGATCTGAAATTCTTTAACTTGAACTATAATCAGGAGCTGTCAAGAATATGATAACATGACAAGTTACATCCTTTTCATGTATGGAAAAAGATGTTACCTTTATAATGATACAAGAAGTTCTGGTCTTGACGTGCTTCTGAATTCTGAGAGAGTAACTTTTCTGAAAGCAGCGCAAGGCTCCTTGACATTTGGCAATAGAGGTTTGGAATGATGATCATTCTCATTGGCATGCTTGCAATGCTTTCCCCTATTTTTTTTGGAAGTAAAGAAAGCAATAGGGGTGATTCTCAGTTTATCAACTAGGGCGCAGTTGTTTAATTCAAGCTACTGAAAACATTCACATCCCAATATCCCATAATATCAATAAACATTCACAATTATTGACTAAATTCATCCAGATCATTTCCGTGAGAGCCTATCTTCATCTTCTAATTAAGTCTACTCAATAAAAAAACTAGTTCATCCATCACAAGTTCAGGTGATCCTCTAACAGAAAATTCATGAGCAACACCATCAATTTCAATCATGCTGGAGCCTGGCATAGCCTTCATGATTCCCTTCTCTTGCATGAAGTTTCTTATATTCTTTACATCATCAAATCTACCAGCTTTAGCATATATATCACAAAGGTTGATGTAGAAAGCATGATTCAGGGGATCCAATTCAATCAATCTCAAAGCAACCTTCTCCCCTAGCTCTACATTCTTGTGCATTTGGCAACCACCGAGCAAAGCACCCCAAACATAGGCATCTGGGTCCATTGGCATGCCATTGATAAGCTTTTCTGCCTCATCAAAGAGCGAGGCTCGACTAAGCATATCAACCATACAAGCATAGTGATAAGCACGGGGTTCAATAGAGTAAACATGTGTCATCATGTCAAAGCACAGGCGGCCCTCCTCTACTAAGCCAGCATGAGCACATGCTGACAAAATTCCAACAAAAGTAACATGATTAGGCTTTACTCTAAGCTTTTCCATCTGATTTAGAAGATCCAAAGCTTCTTTCCCAAACCCATGAAGAGCATAGGCTGAGATCATGGCAGTCCAAGCCATAACATCTTTCTTAGGCATATCTCTGAAGGTTTTGACTGCTTTATCCACACGACCACATTTACCATACATGTCAATCAATGCTGTTGCAGTCACCATATCAATCTCCAACCCACTCTTCTGAAGATAATCATACACCCAATCACCATAGTGAATTGCGCCAAGAGATGCACAAGCCGAAATAACACTAGCAAACGTCATCTTATCAGGCCAAATTACACCATCCCTCATCAGCTGCATTTCTTGAAACAACTCCAAAGCAACCTTTGGCTTGCCAGCTTGAACAAAACCCGATATCATAGAATTCCAGGTAAAAATATTCCGTTCCTCCATTTTCCTAAACATACTCAATGCTAAACCAAGCTCCCCATTTTTCAAACGCCCAACAATCATCGAATTCCACGAAACAACATCTCTCTCAGGCATTTCATCAAACAGCTTCTGTGCACAACTCAAAAACCCACATTCACACAACAAACTAATCATACAATTTTCAACATATAAATCATAATTAAACCCAAATCTCACAACTTGTGAATAAACAGCCAAACCCATTGACCCATCAACCCTTCTACTACACTCCTTTAAGATAAATGTGAAAGTAAGATTATCAGGGTAAATCCCATTTCTTAGCATTTGAATATACAGATTTAAAGAGGGGTAAGAATCAATGAACTGCCCAGAATATAATTTACTAGAATAAGCTCTAATTAAAGCATTATAAACATAAAGATTTGGTCTTTCCAAATGAGTAAAAACTTTGTTAGCATAAGAAAGGGAACCTGCTTCAGAAATGGCGCAAAAGAAGAGTAGACGAGTAGTGAGAAAATAACGGTCTGATTCTGAAATTTTAGGGGTTTTAAGAATTTGGGCATGAATCCTTTTGAGCTGTTTCATGCTTTTGCATTGATTTAATAACCGGGAAATTGAGATTTTGAACCATGAAGTAATGGGTTCTATCATTGTTGCAGATTTCGCAGAACTTTTGCGCGGTTACATTAGTATTCAAAGAGTCGTTATAAACTGTAAAATTAGTGAAAGCTAAAGATTCCAAATTCTACATTTGTGATGAGATTATTTGTAAATGTCAATATCAAGTTCACATTTTGTAATGAGAACCAAGAATTAAACCCTATAGGATAATTAAGTTTTTTTTTTCAATTAAGTTTCGATTTCTTAAGTTCGATTTAATTTAGCTCACTTCAATTTAACCCGCATTTTTTAATCATTTATACTAGTTAAATTATTAGTAAGAAAATCTAACACAATTATAATTTATAAATAACATAATGTTAAATTTTACCCAACAATAATATTGGTCAAAGTTTTCTTTTTTATTCAAACTAATAGCGCAAATTTTTATTGTTGCTAGGAAAATCAAATAGTGCCCTTTAGCCAAATTTGGGCAAAAATTTAAGTAACATCCTCTTTGGTTATATGGAACTTTTTTTTTTCTATAGTGAATTATATATCAAGGGTAGCTTACATAGTTTTTTCAATTTCTAAAAAAAATAGTTTTAATAACTTTAGTCATGGTGTTAAGCAAGTGAAACCACCCTAACCTGATGTAATTTAGTTTGACAGGTTGTTCAACGAGATTTAACGATTTATCTTTATATAAGTTGAATACTTTACTCATAGTATAAGATTGTAAAAGCGACAATCAAATCAGTTGTGTCAAATTGTATTTAATGGATTGAGCAACTTTCTTGACTTCGGGCCTGTTCACATTTACTGAATTGAGCTGAATTGATTGGAGCTGAACTAAACTGAACTGAGCTGAAATGAATATTTTTGGGGAAATTAGGAGCTGAACTAAACAGAAGTGAACTTATTAAAGCTTAACTGAAGTGAACTGATTGGAGCTTAACTGAAATTAAGTAAATGTGAACAGACCCTTCCTATTTTTGTCCATAAACATATTATATGGAATAGGAATTGTAGGGAATTAGCTATATATGTCTATTTGAATTCAAATCAAGACGAAAACAATCAACTTCAATTTATATCATTCATCAATAAGTTATACTAAAGGCGAAACTAGGAATGACACTTGTCATTTTCAGGTTAAAAATTTTCCCGCCTTTTTTTTTTCCTTTCCTTTTTAATTTTTTTGCCATATTTTAATGACATCTATATATTTTATAACTTATAATAATAGTCATTTCCATTTTGACAACATATTTAATCCAATCAATCATCAATCAATAACTTATACTAAAGGCGAAACCAGGAATGACACTTGTCATTTCCTGGTTAAAAATTTTCCCACCTTTTTTTTTTTCCTTTTCTTTTTAATTTTTTTGCCATATTTTAATGACATCTATATATTTTATAACTTATAATAATAGTCATTTCCATTTTGACAACATATTTAATCCAATATTACTCAATTAAAATTTTTACATATATACTAGGAAAATTTTAATTACAAAAATACTAACATAGCTTTAAAAAAAATAAGCTATTGGAATATATTGTTTTCCAAGATTATTATAATATTATCAATATCAATAATAAAGAAAAAATCATATTGGTAGCATACTTTTTACGGAGTATTAATCTTAAAACTATACATAACGTTTATAAGAACAACATAATTTTGTTATAGTATACTTCATACATAACATATATTGGAAAATTAAATCTAATTGTTCTAATTATTAGCAAACTAAAATATATTTAAAAAGTTGATTACGGAATACTAATTATCCTAAAGTAAAATAAACTCAAATAAAATTTCATATTATGCCCATTAAAGTGTGTCAAAAATTTAAGGACAAATGTATATGAGTTCGTATATAGATACTAACCTAATTACCTAAGCTAATAATTTAATTTTCTTATATAAAACGTTAAATCTTCTAAGTTTCTATTACTATATATTTTTTTATACAATCCAATTCAATAATCTTTATATTTAATTTAAGTTATTTTGTTACAAATAAATTTTTTGGAAAAATTATTATTGAATTAACACCATATTTATTTATTGTAAAATTTAATTATGACCGTGCATTTGAAAATTTGAAACTACGATCAAATATCCTTGATTCTTCTACGATCAAATATCCTAGTTTAAAACTACGATCAAATAATCCACTACCTCTATTATACGAGTATTAATATTTTGTACTACTATAGGCATATAGCATTATAGCTTGTATAGTTCTACTCTTAGTTCAATTAAATTTGATTGCCTATCAAATAATTGACCCGTTTCCATTTTTGACAAATTATTCGGAGTTTCTTTTGAAGAAAGAAAAGCTTGTCACCTTTTCCGGGTAAAACCAATTTAAACAATCAGTAATCACCTCCAAGGTTCCCAAAATTCACAGACAATGGCTTCAAACTTCCAGATTCTTCTACATCACCACCCTTATTTTAGCTTTAAATCTTCAATATAATTCACGCCCTTCTTGCCATTCAAGAAACAAAGTTTTCTTCAAACAAAAAAACTTAAATTTCCTCCAGAATCGTTAATCTTGTAACAAATTCAATATACGAAAAATCAATCGTTTTTCTTGAAACCCAGTTCATAAATGATCCAGAAATTGAAGAATTTTGATCAAAGATAAGCACATTTTCTTCCCCTAAAATCATGGCGTCATGGTACAGAAGATCAAGGTTTGTTTACAGTACTTTCAGATGCTTTAGTTCTAGATTATTGCCTAAAACCCCAGTTCAATCTCCTGCCCCAAGAGTTGATTCCAGTTCATCTTCTTTATTTTGCAATCGATTTAAGTCTTCTGGGTTATTTGGGTCACCTTCAATTTCTTCAAAATTTGGGAATTTTAATGGGTTAAAGAATAATCAAAGTAGCTTGATTTCTGGTATTACTAGGAGAAATTACTATGTTGACAGAAACCAAATGTATCATTTTAAGCCAAGAGGTTTTAAATCATGGTTTCAGAATCCTAGGCATTTGTTCATTGTAATTGTGATTGGTTCTGGTGTTGTGATTACTGTTTATTTTGGGAATTCTGAGATTGTGCCCTATACAAAGAGGAAGCATTTGGTCCTTTTGTCAAAAACCCTAGAGAGGCAAATTGGGGAAAGTGAATTTGAAAAGTTGAAGAAACAATATAAGGGGAAAATTTTGCCTGCAATACACCCTGATAGTGTGAGGGTTAGGTTGATATCTAAAGAAATCATTGAGTCATTGCAGAGAGGGATTAGCCATGAGCAAGTGTGGAGTGATCCAGGCTATGCCGTGGAAGGCGGTAGCTATAACGAGGCTAATGGACACGAAACCCAGAAGGTGTTAACTGATAAGCTGGAAGAGAATGCAGTTGAGAGTTGGCGTAAGGAGGAGGAGGTGCTTGATGATAATTGGGTTAAGGATAGTAGGAAGAAGGGGAGGGAGCATAATGCTAAGGCAAATACTGAGCATTTGGAAGGGATGAATTGGGAAGTTTTGGTGGTTGATGAACCGGTTGTCAATGCCTTTTGTTTGCCCGGTGGGAAGATTGTTGTTTTTACTGGATTGCTCAAGCATTTTAACTCGGATGTTGAAGTAGCTACAATCATTGGACATGAGGTATACAATTACTTTGGTTTGCGAAATTGTTATGTTGTTCTTTCTTGTGTTTTGAAAGAATTGTTTGATCATTAGTGTTGATATGTCAGGTCTCTTCCATGGTGGATGTCAATTTTATGTGGGTGTCTTTTTTGTCAGGTTGGGCATGCTGTGGCTAGACATTCTGCAGAACAGATTACAAAGAACTTGTGGCTTGCAATCTTACAACTGATCCTTGTTCAATTCATCGCGCCTGATTTTGCCAATGCAATGTCAAATCTTTTACTGAGGCTTCCTTTTTCTCGAAAGTAAGTCTGTTACTCTTAATATGTTATTTTGATAATTTCCTATAGCATGTTCTTTATGGAGTAAAAATCCCTTTGCATGACATAATTTTCAGTTTCTTCTATTTTCAACCTCTATTTATAAATTTCCTTAAAACATAAGGTCCTGTCCTACAATAAAATAATAACTGAGTTGAATTGTCTTCTCATACTGCTACGTTGTACATATAAGTATTATCAGAATCCTTCGTACACCTGAGGGCATATCATAAGCTTCACAAAGAAGGAGAAATTGAGCAAAAATTACTAGACTCTGATGGTTTTGGTGAATTCTGTCATAGTATTTTAATTTCTTGATTGTCTTTTTGTTTTCTGAGAACTGAATAAAAGAGAAGATAATTAAAGAGGGATGGTTTCCTAGTGAACTTTGAATTACCATTTACTGATTTAAATTGGGGTGGGACTCGTGGGAGGCATAGGGATGGTATCCGTACCCGTTTTTGTGCAACCTAGCTGGAGAGTAGTAAGGTGACTGACTGACTGGACTTACTGGAGAGGATTGTGTTCAAATATTAGTGACTATGCACAACTGGTCATATGGTATAATAATTCTTCGTCATTTCATATTAGGCCTTAGATCTTTAATTAATTGAAGTTAGTCGTCTAGGCCATCTAGCTGCTTTTATGTCACACTGTTACTGCACATACTTTGTAACATTTAACTTGTTTCATCAGACGTTATTATCAATCTTGACATCCACTCTCAGACTCTCTGGTGCCCTTTTAGTGGTGGAACCTCAGATTATAGATAGCGAAAAATAGCTTTCACCTTTGTATACATGTTATGTCTAGTTACCTGAGACAGGGATTGCAACCTGTTAAAGTTGGAAATTCCAGGAAATATTTTGATATGTTTTCCAATTATATTTTCCAATTATACTCATGTTTCTATCTGTTGATCTTGACTTGGTTAGAAGTGTCTGACTTAATGACTCATAAGCTCTTCCTTTTCGGATTTTATTTATTCCTCTTCTTTAAAGCTTTCATGCCACTTGAAAGTTAATGTTGTTTTTCTTTCCTCAATCAAACTGTGTTTCCAGCAAAGGGCATTTCTTGGATATAATTAGTTGTGTTCGTCCTGTGCCTTTGATCATGCTTTTAAGTTTTAACCCAATTATAATTATGGACCGTAAGGCATTTTTAAATTCATTGCGATCATTATAGCTCATCACTTGTATGCCACAGGTGTTAATCTTCCTGTTTATTGTCAATACTCAATACTATTACTCCAACATTTAGTGATCGTATCAACAATTTTATTCCTCCATAATCGTTTTGTTCTAAACCTTTCTGACTACCTTGCATATTCTTAATAATCTTGGGTTTTTGGCAAGGCCATTGTTCTCTCCTATTTCACATCCCTCTCCCCTCTCTGTTGTAGTTTTTATACAATGGTGCTATTAAGAAGAGAAGTCCATATTTAGCATGTGTTCTTAATGTAATTTGTTGCCCTTCATTTGACAATTTCTATCTAGTCATTGTTTAGTAATCAAATGTTTTTGTATCGTTCTGGTTCTTATTTGTCAAGATGGAACTTGCTGCTACAAATTTCAAAATTGCTTAGGCTTTTTTGGCATCTATTTTTTGTGTCTATCGTGTAGGATGGAAATAGAAGCAGATTACATTGGACTTCTTCTGATGGCTTCTGCTGGATACGACCCACGAGCTGCACCCCGGGTATATGAGAAGCTTGGAAAGATCTCTGGTGAATCCGGACTAAGGGATTATCTTTCAACCCATCCGTCTGGGAAAACAAGAGCACAGCTATTAGTTCGAGCTCATATAATGGAGGAAGCAGTGAATATATACCGTGAAGTTGCTGCAGGGCATGCAATTGAAGGTTTTCTGTAACCATAAACATCTGTATCTCCAGCAACTTGGCCTGTTTTGTGGTTTTCAAAATAACTCTTGAATCTTTTATGGAATTCATCTGTTCAAGTTTTTCCATTCGGGACTCCAATGTGATTTGCGTTTTCGCCCACAATTTTGGATGTGCCTTTCAATGGAAACCAGTTTTATCGACTGGACTCATTGAACAAACATTAGTTAAAACTAATAACTGTAATTTTATCCATGTAAATCAAATTATTTCTATATACATCTCTAATATTAAAATTAAAAAAATCTCCCATTATTCAATCTGATTGTAAAACCTCCCAGTTTCAATCACAAATTCATTGAAAATCTGATTTTCTGGAGAAAATGGTGACAAAATAGGACGAAGCATAGCAGAAGTGATTAGAGCTGCAGTACTGTCAAGAATCAAATGCAACAAGAACAACCAATAAGAGATCTACTCTTGTGAGTCTGACGCATTGAGTCGACGTATTTTCATACTCAATCGTTTTTCTACTTTCCAATTCATGGTTTTTGGTTGACAATTTTACATTTGCTTTGAATTTCAATGATAACAGTTTTCAGGTTTATATTACTCCATTTATTCAATTTGATTATATGAGGGCTTTTCTTGCCAATCTTATTTTACATTACATTAAATATATTGATTACACGATAATGCTTTAAGTCCCCCGTATAAAATAAAGTTTAGAATAGCAAAAACAAGTGAGAATTTTGATTGCAATGTAATTACTCATATTATCATGAGAATTAGGTTCGTATAATTGGCATAATCTGGTTTTATTTTTATTGCTGCAGATGGTAATCGGTGTCAAGCGACTGTCAACAGCATCATTGAAAAACTACTAACAGTAACAGCTTAACTGCTCGAAAAATATTTGGTTGACGACAAGGAATTGATTCTAAATTGAATGCTCAAGTACATTTCTCTTGTTTAGAAGAACCCTAACAAAAATGGATATTTTTATTTGGATTGTAGTATAAGAACACACAAGTTTTTGCAATCTAACATGATTTTCTTTTATACATGCTTTTCAGTCAGATTGTAGATCATCCTCCTATTGACTATGTTTTTATTCCCCTGTTAGACTATTGGACAACACTTTGACATGAACACGTTCCATTTTATTAACTAGTAGTCAATTACGGAGTACAGTAAGATGATAGCTACCGTGAACGAAAACAACTTACATTAATCTAAAGATGATACAATAAAATTTGCGATTAATTGTGTATTTAGGTATTGACCCATGTAAATGCATTGCTTAACTAGAGTTTCCAATTAATCAGGTTATGTATTTTTATCACCCCAAAAATGAGATCTCAAAAAGAAAAATTAAGAATATTAATAAATTCAAAATGAAAATAGAAAAGAAAAAAAAAATACAACACATGCTTTTCGTCATCAAAACTTTTTGCACCTTTGTGCACGATGAGATGAGAATCCTCTCTTGATATTTTTGTATTCTACACTTAACGACGACCTCTCCCTCTTCCACCACCATACCCATTAGAGCTGTACCTTCTATCTGAATATCCGCCGCCACGGCCACCTCTTCCACCGAATCTAGAACCACCTCCATAGCCTTGTCTTCCTCTAAACATATCTCTTTCCTCCAATGGAGGCAAGGTTTTAACCACATCCAAGCTCACCCCTGTAGCACTTTCTGAGCCTGGATAGTAACCAGTGTTAGAGCAAATTCAAATAGCTCTCAAGAGCATCTTAACTCAGCAAAAGAAAGAATCTTAGTTGACAGAAATGTCTAAGATCTACTTACCAACAAGAAAAGTTTCCAAATCATCAGCTTGGACATCAAAAACAGCCCCTCGCTTATCAGCAGTGAGGGCCACACCCATCACTTCGTTTGCTTTCTGCTCGGGCAAGAACCTCTTCAACATAGTATAGACAAAGCTGGATAGAGTAAAAAGTTAAAACCAGCATTGTAAGAACCAGTTCACAAGTAGCAATTGCTGAAAGCACTAGTCAGCAAATAATACGGCATCTCTCTGTTGCATTCTCATTGTTTTTAGTATCTTACTTTCTAATTTGGTTTGTTTCAAACTGCTATAAAAGACAGTAACTTTCCATTTCTATTTATCTGAACCTGTTAGAAAAGTCAACTCGAACAAACACAATGTATATATAACTAGGTAGGGGAGCATCTTGTTGCTAAAAGTAACCAATCAAAAACAAAAGGCAAGGTTCAACAGCAAATCCTGTCCAAATGTCAGTAATATCAAAACTTACGTTGGATTATAAATCTCTTTCCCACCTACTTCAAGAAGTAAAGTTACACAACCCTCCATGCCTGTAAGAAGTGATCTTTCCTTTATATCCGAGTAACCCTGTCCAAAGATGCATACCTCATCAAATTTAATTTAAGAGAAATCTCAACCAACACAGCATCAATGCAAAGATCAGATAAAGAAGCTTACAGCCGCCTTGGCAAGTGCTTTTGCAATTATTTCCACAGCAGATAGACCAGATGTACTCAAAAGCTCCTCGGCAGCATCCTTGAAAGAAGGAATAACACTGAACGCAGAAAAAAGGGTACATCTTTATAAGATGACTGCAGTTTAGGCGTCATATATAGGTAAATGAAGAGTTATAAAAAATGTACTACCTGTTGGATATTTGGGTGATAGCCTCTGCTGTCTCAACACCAACTGCTTTGGCAACATCAGCAGGCTGGGGGGCAGATAAATGCTCAAATTTAACACCAGAATCTCTTTCTATTTTATTGACACTGGCTTTCTTTGGATCATAAAGCATCACAGCAATCCCCGTATTACCTGAAATTAACATCATCACTTAGATAAGTGTCCACAATGACAGCGGCTCAAACAGACTTAAAAAGCATCCATCAAGATCACATACCAGCCCTGCCTGTCCGGCCAGAACGATGGATGTAGGCTTCAACATCGCGTGGAGGTTCACACTGCAACAACATCAAAGCCTTAGTCCCAATTGATTTGGGGTGGTGGTTCACACAAACCCAAATATAACAAAGAAAAGTTTACGGTAATCATTTGGATGATTAGTACAAGAACACTATACTCACTTGGATGATTAGCTGCACATCATTAATATCAAGACCTCTTGCTGCTACATTTGTTGCTACAAGTGTCATAAATTTTCCTGATCTGAATCCTTTAAGGGTGACCTAAAATTAGCAAATCCCAGGTTAGTTAAATTTCCACATCGCATCAACAAGAACTATTGTATAAAGTCACTTCATTGATATACCTCTCGTTGTGTTTGTTGTATATCTCCATGCAAAGGCCGCGCTCCAGTCAACAACCCGGAAAGTCGAGAAGCAAATTCTTTTGTCTCCGTAAAAACAATTGAACGACCTCCACTGAATATACAGGATAAAGATATAAGTTGCTAGCTAGTAAGGAGCCAAGGAGCTTCTGCGTAGAATTAACTGAATGAAACAACAAACCAACCTAGCATAGCACCGTATTATATCTGGGATGAGATCAGCCATTGCAGAGGAAGAGCATGGTATAACAATGTGCCTAACACTGGTGCTGGCCTTCATTTTCTGATCACTTACCAGATCTATGGTTTTCTTAGCAGGCTTGAGAAATGTTCGAGAAATCTTGACAAGACAACAGCTTTGTTTAGAACACAAAATAGATATTTATCACCAAATTCTATTGAAGGCAAAACATTGATTTTATACCGCAAATCAGTACACAACAATATTTTACACATAAAATAACTAGGCTAAACTTTCATTGCATAAAAAGTTTCTAATCAATTAAAATGTTAAGGGAAATACAAACCTCTTTGACCCAGTTGGGTAAGGTAGCACTAAAAAGAAGTGTCTGAACTTTGTTAAAGTCATCAACTTTTTCTGAAAAAGCAGTAGATAGGTTGTCAAAAAAATGTAGAAAAATGGTAATTAAAATTTTGACAAAAGATGGATGGGATTGGAGGTACTACAAAGTACAAACTTAGCAAGGGATAATATAGAAACTTATAGGCAGACAGCAATAAGTTTTAAATGGATATAATTAGATGTGGGTTACCCAATATTAGTTTAACATCATCCATGAAACCCATTTTCAACATCTCATCAGCCTCGTCAAGGACACGGAATAGCAGTGAACCAAGTTTAAGAACACCCTTCTCTAAAAGATCCTATAAAGACATTCACAAACAAGATAAGAAATAGAGACACAAGTGCAAGAATCAATTAAGGCAAGAGCTAAACATTAAACAATATCAGGTTTGCATGATACATCATACAGAAAAACAATACCTTTACACGACCAGGTGTCCCCACAACAATATCAACACCTCTATTTAAGCTGCTAATCTGAGAATGAAAGGGTGCTCCCCCGTATACACTGCAAGCCGAGAGCCCTACGGCGCCTCCATAAACTTGAAAATCAGCTAGCACCTTCACACAAAGTAGAAATAAACAAATGAACTAAATTAGATTTTAAATGTTAATCAATCTTGTGGACATTAGGGACATAGGGGCAAAAATTTATTTGAAGTGCATCTTCTGCACCGTACCTGAGTTGCCAATTCCCTGGTAGGTAGGAGAACCAAGACGCTTGGTAGCCTTCCATGGCCAGTTTTCCTTAAAGCTTTGGTGCGCCCATTCACTAAAGACTCTACTATTGGCAATACAAAAGCAAGTGTCTTACCCTGTATATTGACGGTGAGTTAATTGTTTCGGCAGTAAACAAATAAAAAGCCCATAAGAAATTTTGGTCAACTACACACATACAACAATGATTCGCAACATAAGAATAAGGCAAGTAATGAGCTCAAGACCCTGTAGTTTCAGAACATTATCTCACTAAAACAGTAAAACCTCATAATAATAGTTAATTATCTTCATTTTTCAATGACAAACACACTACACATCCATAGTCAAGAAATATAGGATTTTTCTAATACCAAATCCTCCTCACAAAATAGGTTAAAAGTCTTCAAACCATCAAATACGACAGAGTCTACTATCTTCTACTACATACATATCAAAATTGAATTAAAATACTTAGCAAAAGCTATATAGTGTGTATTAACCAATTAGCTTGCCTATCTAAGCAGCAAAATAAATTAAAATACATTCATTCATCCTTTTCTTCATAAAGTCAGTCATTGAATTTCACAAATTCCCAAAACAGATTATAAGATGAACCTATAACACAATGCCAATCACATAAAAATTCAAACTTTGAATTCCACAACTCTGCTTCCCATACTAATCCTAATAACATACGGAGTACTTCATATGAATCATATCATAAAAGCACTAAAATTAAACTTGGTGATAAATAATCATGAAACCAATAAAATCATACAACTTTGTTCAGTAAAAATTCTTCATACAAACCAGTAATACACTATAATCAAGCTCAAGAATAAATTTTCATACAAACACCATAATAATACAACCAAAATCAAATTCATAAATCATTAAAAAAAATTAAAAAACTTTAAAAAACTAAGAATCAAAGCTCGAAAAATCAAAAGATGAATACACACCTGACCAGTACGAGCACGACCGACCAAATCACACCCATCAAAAACATCATTGAATGTCATAGCTTGAATGGGAAACAACGCCTTAATCCCTTTCGAAATCAAAGCATCCTTCAACGGTTTCGAAAGCCGAAAATTCGAAAGAGAATAAGGGTTTTCAATTTCATCATCATCAACAACCTCCATTATTTTAGCTTTTTTAGGGTTTAAATCAACCGCCTGAACTAATTCAGAGCTAGTATCACTTTTATCAGATAAATCATCTAAATCAACAGCTTTACGTTTCTTCTTCTTCTCATCTTTATCCTTCTTACTGCTACTCTTCTCCTTCTTGCTGCTACTCTTCTCCTTCTTACTGCTGCTCTTCTCCTTCTTGGTAGTGTCGGAATCTAGGGTTTCAGACTTTATCTTCTTCTCCTTTTTTAGGGTTTCTGGGGTAACGGAATCGATCATCATTGGTAATGAAGGCATTAAAATTGGAGGAAAGAGAAAATGAAGGAGATACAAAAATGGAGGAGAGAGATTGAAGGTTTAATGGCGACGAAATTCCTCTTTCTGAATGGCAGAAGGAGGGAAAGAGGGAAAAGACGGATAGGGTTTAAGGTGGTTTTGTATGTTTGTTAGATTTTGGAGGCGGGGTGATTTTAGCCGTCCGATTATGAAACCCTATTCTACTGAATATGTTGCCGTTAGATTTTTTTTTTTTAAGGGGTATAATTGGAATTAGCATAAAGTATATGCTTTGATTTTGGAAATACTTTTCACAACCAAAGTAAAAAAATATCTTTATATTTTGGGGTTTTAGGGTCTGTTCATATTTACTTAATTTCATTTCAGTTCAGTTTCAATCAGTTCAGTTTAGTTCAGCTCTTTATTTCCCTTTCTCATAAAATATTCATTTCAGTTCAATTCAGTTCAGCTCCAATTAGTTCAGTTCAGCTCCAATCATTTCAGTTCAGCTTAGTTCAGTAAATGTGTTTTATACTTTTGAGTCATGGCCACAAGAAAAGCAATGAGGTAAATATGATGAATGTTTTTTAGGTTGAAAAAAATACTTTGAAATGGACAAAGATGCTAGAATTGATATGGTTTTATAACTTACTCATACGTTTAATTGTGGTGTTTAATTTAATGTATTCAGCAAACGGTAAGAAAATCACCTTGAAATTGTGGTTATTGTAAGGTTCTTTTACTATATTCTTGTAAATGTTAAATGTGCAATCTTAATTGTGTACATATATTTAATTATTGTCATATAAGTCCTTTTTTTAGTGTATATATTATCATATTCTAACATGGTATAACTAGTTCACTACTTAAGATTTCAATCTAGCCTTAGCTTGGTTTCCCTCTTCTTCTAAAAATACAATCAACCCTCTTCTAATGAGTAGCAGTGTGCTCAATCTGTCAATAATATTAAGATTATATCCCTTTTATCTTTGATCGATTGAAAGACTATACATACTCAAAAAGGGAGGAGCTTTTAGAGTGTCATGCTAAGGACATTTCAAACTCTATGTGGCAAAGGATAGTTTGAGGATTTTATTATATGATAGATCGTAATTTAAGATAAAGCTATACAAGTTGATAAAAAAAAAAGGCTATGAGTTAAAATGTTTTTATGTCAAATACCAACCTAATCCAGTCATTCCTACAACCTCATTTTTTCCTAAGTTATTTATCCCAAATTAGAAGGTTCGAGCATGACTTTTCTAAACCAAATTTCACTCTAATCAGGTGTAAAGCGATTGCTAGTTAGTAATTTGTTTAAGTTAGGGCCTGTTCACATTTACTGAACTGAGCTCAGTTGAAATGAATATTTATGAGAGAAGGAAATTAGGATCTGAATTGAACTGAACTGAATCAATTTGAGCTGAACTGAACTGAGCTAAAATGAATATTTATGAGAGAAGGAAATTAGGAGCTGAATTGAACTGAACTGAATTAATTGGAGCTGAACTGAACTGAATTGAACTGATTGGAGCTGAACCGAACTGAATTGAGCTGAAATGAATATTTTACGAGAGAAGGAAATTAGGAGCTGAACTGAACTGAACTGATTGGAGCTGAACTGAACCGAACTGATTATAGCTGAACTGAACTGAAATTAAGGGTTTGTTCACATTTACTGAATTGAGCTGAACTGAACTGAAATAAATATTTTATGAGAGAGAATTTAAGAGCAGAATTGAACTGAACTGTTTGGAGCTAAACTAAATTAAACTGACCTAATTAGAGCTTAACTAAACTGAATTGAACTGAAATTAAGTAAATGTGAACAAACCCTAAGTAAATGTGAACAAGCCCTTGTTCATATTAGGTGTTCTCTAAATCAGATTGTGAAATAATTAGTACTTGTACTTTATAGTTGTAAACTACGAGTAATTAAGATTGACCCATTTCTTTCAAGAAAAGATTGACCCCCTATTGTTGGGCCATGAAAAACAATAAATTAAGAGGATGTTTTGGGTCTTGGATTTGATACTAAAGATTGACGGATCCACTGGACTATGTCCGCAAATTAAACCAAACATGTACAGTTAGTTCTAATGCTTCAGTCCAGTCCACTAATATCTCTCGGTTCAGTGTTAGTCTAATGTGTAGTTGGGTCCAATCCACTAATCTCTCTTTCCCACCTAACTACTCCGTATATCCTAACTATAATTATACACAATCTAATCTAATCTAATATATATAAATAAAGTAGGCATTTTTCGGGATCATTTGGCGCGCCACATAAGAAAAGGTATTATTTTGTCCAATGAAAAATTAGATTAATAATTTATTTTAGAATTAAAAAATTTACTCGCCACCTAAGCAAAAGTGACGAATAATATTTAAGAATTTTGACACATACGTAAAAACAACGAATAAAGAATAATTAAAATTTAAATTATTTTAAAAAACTAATAATTATCTTCTCTTAAAAAAAAACAAAAAAAAAACTAAGTAATAATTATCTATATGGATGCAAATTTTTTATCGCAAAGATTTTTAATCTTTTCCTAGCAAATAATATAAAAGTTTGATTTTAATAACGTACTCATCGAGACGAATGAAACTAAAATCTCATATGACTAATTTTCCATAATTTTTAATAGTTAAATGATTATAAATGAGACTAACATTTTAAACAGAACGAGTATATTAAATAAATGCATAGGCAAAAGACTAAGACGAATAAAACTAAATCTCAAATGACTAATTTCTCATCATTTTTAATAGTTAAACAATTATAAATGAGACTACCATTTTAAACAGAACGAGTATATTACATAAACACATAGGCAAAAGACTTATTTTGATCAATAAAAAAAACTAGATTTGTCATTTATTTTATGAATTAAAAATTTAAATTGTCACATAAGCAAAATTAGTTAATAAGTTTTGAGATTTTAAATTCAAGCGTCACATAAAATTAATAAAACAACAAAAGATAACTTTAGTGTTAAAATTAAAAAATTATCTTATGATATAAGAAATTTTATCCATATATTTAATGAATGATATTCATAAATATACAAAATTTTAAACAAAATAAAATAATTTATTAGAACCATGCATCGCACGGGCTTACATCTAGGTAATGAACGTAATCACCTAATTTGACACATAGGTAAAAACAACGAATAGAGAATAATTAAAATCTAAATAATTTTTAAAAACCAACAATTATCTTCTCAAAAAAACGAAACAAAAAAAAGCAATAATTATCTTTATTATATATATGGATGCAAATTTTTAATCACAAATATCTTTAATCTCTCACTAGAAAATATTGTAAAAGTTTGATTTTAATAATCTCATCGAGACGAATAAAACTAAATCTCATATGACTAATTTCCCATAATATTTTATAGTTAAACTATTAAAAATGTGACTAACATTTTAAAAACAACGAGTATATTAAATAAACGCAAAGGCAAAAAAAATTTATAAATATTTTTTAACGAGTATATTTTATAAATAAGGTTTGAGATTTTAAATTCAAGCGTCACATAAAATAAATAAAACAACAAAAGATAACTTTAGTGTTAAAATTAAAAAATTATCTTATGATATTATGAATTTTATCCATATATTTAATGAATGGTCTTCATAAATATACACAATTTAAAATTAAATAAAATGATTACTAGAACCGTGCATCGCACGGGCTTACATCTAGTATATATATATAAAGGGGAGTTTTTTCCCGAGATTTTAGATCGCCATGTAGGATTTTTATTTTTAAAAAATTATTAGAGCGCCACATTGGATTAATATTTTTAAAACGCTACAATAGGATTATGCCACCTAAAATTAGTTAACGTGCCGCGTAGGATTATAAATTATAGTTATTTCCAATAAATAATTCAAGTGCCACATAAGCATAATTGACCAATGAGATTTTAATATTTACATTGATTAAATACGAAATACTATCTTTTGAGATTAGGAATTTTATCTAATATTTTAAAATAAATACGGAGAAAATAATATATTACGTACAATTAATAAAATAACAAATGTAATCACATAAATATGAAAAATATTTTTTTTAAAAATAGATCGACCCGTACATCACACGGGCTAGTATTCAATTATTCACAGGACCAAAAAAGATTATGTGATGGGGCTAATGTAGAACCTTGTCATGATTTTTAGAGTTTGAAAGATTCCATTCGCAATACTTTACTGCTTTCCCATCTTAATATGAGCAATTAAACTATTACTAAACGCCTTCTACAAATAAAAATAAATAAATAAATAAATAAATAAAAAAAGGAAGAAGGTTCGATTTTATACGTAGTAATTGTTTTCCTCACTCAAACTACAATACTTCTACTTTTGACGAAACTTGATTTAAAACTTATATAATGTATATGTAAATGAAATAGGAGTATGAAATGCTTTGATTGTAATTTAAGTACTCCCTATATAAAGTAATACAGATTAATGCAAGTGGCATATTAGTTATCGATTACTCTACATTTAACAATTATTAATAAATTTGAAATATAGACAAAAAGGAAGTCAAACATAATCACGAGGCAAAGAATAAAATAAAATTCATGTACCTTGGCCTTCTTTACAAATAATTACTCCTTATAATGTTCTATTGCTTCTTTCATTATTTGTATAATTACATCATACTTCATCCAATACAAATTGCTTTCATAAAAAAAAACATAAAGTTGTAAGAAAAAAAAACAAAAACAAACAAACAAAACAAACATTTCATGTAAAAGACTAAAGTAAAACTTGACTCACTACTTATTCACCTGTATTCCGTAAGATTTTTACGAGTACCTCACATTTTTAAGATTTAGACATTTAATTTTACTAAACAAAAATGTTAAAAGGTGATAGCTAAATGCCTGCCCAGAATTGTCGAAATAAAATTCGTAAAGATTGACTTCATTTCTTGAAAAATAAATATAAAATGACTCACCATTCACCACCATGAATGTGTGAATGGTCCATATATGACTCTATGACTCCATGTTGCCACTTTATTAATCTCCAATTCAAGTTGTTGTGGTCCAATTTAATTAATTCTTATTTCTAAATACTCAAATTAATTCCCACGTTCCAGTTAGAGTAGTATCAATTATTAAATATGTCGCCATTTTGTTCAGCCTGTTGCCTGGTTTGTGGCAACAACGCATGTCCCATAACTTTCCAATTGTTTAGGCTGGCATGTTGTTAACTTATCTAAGATAAATAATTCACAGTTACTAAAAATTTTGTCCTGATCAATATAAAACTTTTGTTTTTACGTAAAATGATTATAATTCGATTTGATTTAATATGTAAGCATCAATCTTCAATAATGTTAATCAATAAATCAATAATCAAAGATTAGCCGAAGTAATCAAACAAGAGTTGAAATAAGGGAGTGCCAAACTGAACTATCATTCACAGCTATCCCATACAATGCTGCCATTAATTACAGCTCTAAGAAAGTGAGTGCCTACTGTGTAGATAGCGATGAGCGATCCAATTCACTGCTTTATAGATTAATACCGTACATGTATGGTCATGTTGTATATAATTATATACAGAGTAGTTTCTCCCATCTTTAATTTGCATTGAAAGGTGCCTCATCTCATGTTGTGAGCTCGGCAACAATTTGTTACCCAAAAGCATAACAATTTGCATAGTGAATAAAAACAATTTACCTTTGGCCAGTATCCATACAATGTAACTATTGCAACACGTTGATTTATGTGTGATTGCCACTTCGACTCAAAATTGTTCAACTAATAAGATTGAACCTTGTCACAATTAACAATTGGACGGTGCCATAAGGTGGTACTCCGTATATGCAACAATGGCGCACATAAGATCTATATACTCACCCTAAATTAATTTCCTCATTTTTTCTGTCCTTAATTCTCTTTAGAACACCATCAACAGCAATATCAATGGCATCTTTCATACTCCCTAACCCTTCATTAGGTTTTGCGTATATTAATTTAGGAATAGTTTCCACCACTTTTTCCCTCATCCTTTTTATCTCCTCTTTACCATACTTCTCCAACACGGCTTTTATCAAAGTACCATTTCTCACCTCATCACGGTGAATAAAAACCGAGTAACTCTCGGACTCTCCAGGCAAAAACCACTCATACTGAAGATAAGCCGACCGTCTCCAAAAGAAAACCGGTATCGAACCAGCCAACATACAATCAAATATAGACCGGCGGGTAAAACTATCACCCCTAGGCTGCAAACAAAACTCCGAATCAAGAAACGATTCGAGGATTACAGACGTCCCACACCCTTGACCACCACTGCAATCCACTAGTCTACACGACTTAGACGAGTTCCGACATTGACTCAACAACAACCCTCGGAAATCATTTTCAACCCAACCTCGGGTACCACCGGCAAAACAAAATAAAGAACGCCTTTCACGTGACCGGACAAACTCCTGCCATGAAACGACGTCGGAGGGGTTACTAGGGTGGAATCCAGTAGGATAAGGCACGCCAACGTCGAAATAATCCCACGGGTTTTTCTCGATCAATAATCGAGTGACATTTGTCATCGACGGCATGGTGATACACCTAGACCCCCAACCTTGATCACCATATCGTCGGAAATCCCACGTAATTCTCCCCATTACAAGAAAATGATCCCAACCATTTGACTTTTTAAAATACGGGTAATTCTTTTGGACCCACTCAAGCATTTTCTCACAATGTTGATCTCTGTCTTTAGGACTAAATTCATCCATCATGTATTTACCGACTGCAATTCCAGCGTAAAATGGGATGTAATACGCCGTCGCAGATTCCGGGTCTAATGTACGACATTTGTGAAAAAGTAAACGGTTGTGAAAAAGAACCTCGGATGAGAATTGATCAGTTGAGTACCAAGCGCTGGCGAGATTTTCCGGCATTAAATGATTGTTTTCTGTCACTTTACGGCCAAACCCGTCGTTTGAGAGGGCCCCACACCAGTTACCCCAAGCACTTGATTTGTCGCAATTTTGGTACAGATCGGAGTTGAATTGTGATGGGAGATCGTAGACGAAGATTTTGCCGTTTTCGCATTGATCCGGAGGAGGGGTGGTGGAGTTGACGGCGGAGATGGAGGCGGAGGGGGCGGCGGTGAGAAATGGCATGCGGTGGTCGGAGAAGGAGATGAGGAAGAGGAGTTGGAGGAGGAGGAAAAGGGAGAGGAGACATAAGCGAGGGTGGTGGTGGAAGAGAGAGAAGAAGAAATCGGTCGGCGACGATGGTGGTGGCGGTGGTTGTGGATTGGGCGGTTGGCGGTTAGAAGGATACGATAACGTTTCTGATTTAGAAGGCATGAGAAAAGATTTTCCGGTGAGAATTCACCGGTGGTCGGGAATTTCGTCGGAAATTGTGGTGGTTTAAGGTTGTTAATTTGGTGGTGGAGGCGGGAGAAATATTGCGGGAAAAGCTGTTGGGAGTTGTAAAGGTGTGTTGTATTTCTTCTTATGAGAGGTCAAATACTCTGTATATGCAAAGAAGTTGTACATAATTAAAATTCAACTAAATGAATATAAACATTGATTAATGTCTATGAATTATTGCAACTTGATAATTTTATTAATCATTCAACAATTATGCCACCAACTAGTCTAAATTAATCTATAATTTTTGTCAAGGTAATAATTAAATCTTATGATATATGATCGGTATTGTAAAAGTCAATAACAAATTAAACACAAGACATTTGAGCCTTATCGTTAAAATAAGTTAATTTCATATTCAAAATTGGTTAATTCCAAATAATAAATGAGAACATGTGACGAGAGCCAATTGCAATTGATATTTTTTTTTGATAACATTGCAATTGATATTTTGGTAGTAATATAATGTTAAAAGCTAGACAATAAGTCAAATTTAATTTTAAGACTTGTTTCGATAAATTGAGATTATTTTAAAATCAACAATTATGCAAACTTGTAAGTTGTTATATTGCTTGCTTGCACCACTAATTGTGATTTTGAATAAGTATTGTTGTTAAAATAAGTCTCTATATTGTAACAATACTTCCGCTATACTGTATTAGATATCATTTGATTAACCATATTGTAATCTTGATTTTTTCTTTCCCTTCATCTTAACACTTTTGTAAAATTTAAATGATTTAATTAATACTTGTACGTATTTGTTTAAATAGTTATATCACTTGTATAATAGCCCTTATTTTATATCACTTTCTTCCTCTACTCCACTTCAACCCACAAAAGATCTCAAGAAAAAAAAAAAAACACCTTTCGTTTATCAATGAAGAAGTTCTGTTCAATAATGCAGCTGTATATAATCCATAGTTAATGAATTTGAAAAGAGAGATCATTTGATTCATTCGATTCGTAGTGCTAAGAGCCTAAGAGTTATGCCGTATGCGATTTCACTGCCCCGTCTTCTTGCTCTATCTCTGCTTTTAATTTGTTGTCCTTACTCCTTATTTTCTTTTATTTAGGCCACAGATTATGAACAATTTATATATATGGTCAATTATTAAAGTTTATTTAATTTATTTTCTTTTATCTAAATGAAAGGAACTATCTTGTCAAAAAATGAAAGGAACTAAGGAGAGGGGGTTTTTATTCATTCATGGAAGTCATTATATTACAAAGATGAGTTAGCTTGTAGGCAAACAATATTGTTTTATTGCCTCTTAAAGTCTTTAACTAGGAAAGGTTTATTATGATAAACTGATAATGAAACGAAAACTATATAATAGAGAAACTGAGAAAGGATTTTGTTTGCTTTCTTATTTATTAATTTGTGAATAATTTATTGTGGGCCGTCTAACCCAAGTTTGGGTAAAGTGTGTTTTATCTTTGTCCAATTTGGATGGCCCATTTTCTTAACATTTTACTTGTTTGGTTTAAGTGTATTGGGGCTTATTCTACGGTTTGTTTAGTAAGCTTAGGTGGCATTAATTCTTGTAGAAAAAGAAGTGAGTGAGCGTGAAGATTGAAAGTTGAGACAATTCTCACACAAATACAGAGGAAAAAGTAACAAGGGTTCGATTCTTCATTTTCAAACTTTCTGAGATAACTTTCACATATTTCTATTGTCGAAAAATCAACTATCCGAATGAGTAAGCCTGAACTTTTGTTTTGTTATTTCTACACCTTTTATCCCTCAATTGTTCATGTTTTGTTATTTCTACACCTTTTGTAGATTAAATTGGATTTATTTTATTTTCAATTATCAATAAGTGAAGTAAGGTAAAATCTTCAAATAATTTGTGACTTATACTCTTCATATCAAAGGGATTTTTCACGTATAATTCATGTATACTATTTAAAATTTAATCTTCTTATTAACTCATCGAATTGGTTGGTGGTTAGATGTTGTGATCATTTAAACTTATTGTACTGAATTGTTGGTTGTCTTGAGTTTGTGACATAGTGGATGCCATATATAGTTTCCCCCTTGTTTCCCTATATAATTATGGAGTTCAATTCAGGCAAATATTTTCCAAGAGATTGTAGATTCTTGGAGAAGAGTAATTAGTTAGTGCAAAGTACTCCGTATCACTCCACATTGCATTTTACAGTTGTATAGTTTCTTTTAAAGTGTTACTCCGTACTAACGATCAATTCTATCTCGAAAATGTTTGAAAATCAAATATCCAGAGCACATCATTACATGAAAAAACACCAAACATGCATGGCCCTGCCTCATCAAACATAACGATCCCATAACACTTTCTCGTCGTTTTCATTCAATTAAAGGCGGGTCCAATTTATGGTGTGACATGCTAAAATATTAGCTACCCAAATGACCCTCCATTATTCACACTGCACAAAATCACACTTTAACACCACCTTGCCAATATCAAAGCTCAAAACCATTTATTAATAAGCACCCAAAAGAATATACTACATTGCTATGTATAATAATTACTCAGTATTGTATATACGAGTATTACAATACACCAAGACTAATCGTAAACGGCCTCAATTCGGATAAAAAGATTGTCGGGTCCATAGTATGCGACCATCACACTTAATAAAGTTACGTGTAACAATAGCAATTGTTATATACACAATGAAAAATAACCCATACTCTAAACTAATTACCATTTAAAACCATACTCTTGTTGTTCCTTCATTCTTTTTAAAACCCCATCAACGGCAACATCGACAGCATCTTTTATACTCCCTAACCCTTCATTGGATTTAGCATAGATAAACTTAGGAATAAATTCCACCACCTTATCCCTCATCCTTTTAATATCCTCTTTACTATACTTTCCTAGCACACTTTTAACCAAAGTCCCATTTTTAACCTCATCACGGTGGATAAAAACCGAGTAACTCTCCGGTTCACCCGGCAAAAACCACTCGTATTGATAATAAGCCGACCGCCTCCAAAAGAAAACCGGTATCGAACCGGCTAACATACAATCAAATATAGACCGACGAGTAAAACTATCACCTCTAGGCTGTAAACAAAACTCCGAATCAAGAAACGTCTCTAGAATCTCCGACGTACCATTAGAACAACGATTACCACCACAATCCACGACACGACACGACCCGGCCGAGTTCCTACATTGATTCAACAACACCCCACGGAAATCATTCGCGATCATACCACGAGTAGCACCCGCGAAACAGAACAACGAATGCCGCTCACGTGACCGGACAAACTCCTGCCATAAAACGACGTCGGAGGGGTTACTAGGGTGGAATCCAGTAGGGTAAGGTACACCAACATCAAAATAATCCCAAGGATTTTTCTCAATCAACAACCGTGTGATATTCCTCATTGATGGTAAGTAAATACACTTTGAACCCCAATCTTGATCATTTGAACGGCGGAAATCCCATGTTATTCGACCCATCACAAGAAAATGATCCCAGCCGTTGGATCGGTTGAAATAGGGGTGTTCTTCTTGAACCCATTTGAGCATCATTTCGCAATGTTGATCTCTATCTTTTGGACTGTAATCTGACCATAGATATTTACCGACGGCTAGTCCGGCGTAAAATGGGATGTAGTATGCTGCAGCAGATTCTGGGTCTAATGTACGGCATTTATGTGAGAGTAATCGGTTATGAAATAATATTTCTGAAGAAAATTGATCAGTGAAATACCAAGCGTCGGCGAGATTTTCCGGCATGATTCTGTTGATTCCCGTCGCTTTTCTCCCGAATCCGTCATTTGAGAGGGCGGCGCACCGGGACCCCCATGGGCTTAGTTTGTCGCAGTTTTGGTAGATTTCGGAGTTGAACTTTGGTGGAAGATCATCGTAAACGAAGAATTTCCCTAATTCGCAATGTTCGGGATTAGGATTAGGGTTAGGGTTTAAGGTTGAGGAATTGGAAATGGCGACGGAGAGAGTGGTGGAAGAGGCGGCGGAGAGAGGAGGAGGACGGTGGCCGGAGTATGAGAGGAGGAGGAGTTGAAGGAGAAGGACGAAGATGAGGAGGCATGATCGAGGGTGGTGGTAGAGGAGAGAGAAAGTGAAGTAAGAAGGTTTTGAGAATTCTGGAGAAGATGAAAATGGTGGTATTTGTTTAGGAGGGGTTTTGGGTCCTTTTGTTGGCCGGTCTTGAGTAGACGACAATGAAGTGTCTGTTACAGGAAGCATGAGAAATGGTGGAAATTCCGATTGTTAATGGTTGTTTTCCGTTGAGTTATCGCCGGAAAGTTGGTCGGAAAAGTGGGTTTGAATGTTGTGGAGTGGAGGGGATAAAGGAGAGAGAAATGCGGAAAATTTGGTGGAGTGACAAGTGAGGGTTTATGGAAAGAAGAGGAAGAATTATTAATTTTATATTTTTATTTAATTAATTAATAATTAAATGGTTTTAAAAATGTTGGAATGGACGCGTGTGTAATGGGTGGTACCGGGAAATAGTCTGCTACCGACAGGTGAAATACGAGAGTTGGGATATTGCCACGTGGGAGCTGATTGAGTGGGCTAAATTAAACTGCTGCTGCTTCCAGATTTTTTCAGTCAGTTTTGGTGTTTGTGTGCAAAAGGGTGGGATTAAACGTGAAAATAGATTGTGTAGTAGAAACAAAAAGTGTACAGTAACGTGCTATGAGAATATAACAATCATCAGCTCAAATAATGGAGTACGCAGTAAATTATTAGAATATATTCCTTGTTGTATATGAGAGTCATCGCTTAATAAGTCGACTTACCACGGCCCAAAGATGATGGATTTGAAATGAGATTTACTGACCTTGAAAATTAAAATTATTTGAGCAATTCAAAAGTTTTAGATCAACTCGTATACAATTGATTAGTAAAGAGGTTTAAAAACAACCTGAAACTTTCCAGTTTAAACCCAACCCAAGTTAAATAAACTCGTATTCAATTAATTATATTGTGGAGAGGAAAAACTTAGTGGTGATGCTCAACTGCTTTAGCAGTTTCGATATCTTTTAACTAGCTTTATATTTACTCATCATTGAAACATCAAACATGATTTATGTTGGTAAAAATGGATTTTACCCTAGAGAAGTGGTTTTTATTGAACTCACTTTCAATATCGATTTAACTTTACCTTTTAATGTAATATAAGCGAGTTTAGTACGCGAAAAAACGTAAATGTCAAAATACTATGTATATATGTTGGTCCATGACTCCATGTGATAGGATATAATCTTGTATTATTTATGTTAATTGTTTAACAAATAATGCAAGATATTTTCTACTTAGCTTTACATTCCATGAATCCAAATTCTAGTTTCTAATACATTTTTTTTCTTTTAATAAATAAATTGAGTTTATCGCCATTTTTCTTATTAGTGTAACAAGTTAACAATAATAATGATAGGATGCACATTAATGCTCTCATGCTCACTTAGGGTCTGTTCTGATTTGCTGAATTGAGCTGAATTAAACTAATTGGAGTTAAACTAAATTGAAGTGAACTGAATATTTTATGAGATAAATAAATTGGACTGAAGTGAATATAAGCTGAGATAACAAACCCTTATTAGACACCTCACACTTAATTTGAGGAACTTGATAGAAATTCGATCTCACACAATTGAGCTAAGAAAATTGTCATTTATGAGAGATGACCTAGGCTTCTTTTTTTGCAATACTCCAATGGTGACATAAGCACATAACCAACTCGTCATCAAACTATTAGGTGGAGAACAAAACGTACGTATTTAGCTTCACAAATCACAACCCTTAAACTTTAGAGTTAGGCATAATGTTTGAGATTTGAGCGCCAAGAAACATGGTCGGTTCCCTTGTAATTATGACTTAGTGCTTCTCAAATGTGCGGTCAATCTAACGTGATTAGTGTCTTCAATTTTTCGGTAGCTTCTCAAAGTTGAAGTTAATGCATTTAATACTATATAATCACAAAATTAAGATGCTGTTTTTGTCGCTAAATATTCGTCATTAATTACTCCATTATTTTCACTATTTATGAGTACAAGCATATGATCGAGTATGACGTGTTAGGAACAACAATATTGCTAAGCTAAATTGATAATAATGATAAGGCAAAAACTAATGAGCGCCCCCGGGGCGTTAGATAACAGAATTAAAGAGCAAATATTAGAGTAAAATTAACATTAATTACACCGAACGACGCGTGATTTTGTCATAAATTCCCAATTTTAATTTTGTATGTAGTGCAGAGAGTGTCTTGTATAGTTGTACATACCAATGTTGATACACCAATTGTCATATTCGAATAATTCGATCCATGATCGTTTTTGGGTTGGAAACCTTTCTCTAGCAAATACATCATAGCCTTCCAGTATGGAGTATTATTATTGATCATATTATCATAATATAGTTGATTATTATTATTACACGTTTACACCTATTTAAATTTGCAATTATTTTTCATGTATAAAATTGAAGTAATTTTTTCGTATTATAAGCGGTAATGAAGTATAGTGTATCTTTCGCAATTTAAGTTTGTCCATAACTTGTACCATGTATTTGAAAGGCAATATCTAATTATCTATAATCATTTGGTTACTTTTTAATATATAATTAGTATATAGTCTGCATTACTATATCTTTAATGTGATATACGACAATAAAATCACATGAAAATAATGACTAGTACAAGTTGGCCTGCTGATCAAAGTTGAAAAAATCACAATTAACACGTCTTAGGTTGTTCAATGTTCATACCTCTGCAAATTAGAACACCTCTGCGGCTTCTAATTAAAAGTATGTGCTTTATTTGATTTTAAATATTATATAATTCTACATGATTGAGAGAGCAAACTAAGCTACGAACATTAATTGATCTATTCTAATCTCCTTTCTTGAATTGGTGGATAGCTAGCATTCAAATAAGATTCCATCATAATTTGACCTACAAATGACACTTGTTATTTGGGACTTTCACGTACATCTTTTGAAGATTTTAGTTTACATTTCATCGTAGTATAGTACTACGAGGAGATTTATTTATTTATTTTTTTTTTTTAAAAAAGTTAATTTAATCCTGATTTTTTTGATAAATAGTCATATACTTGGTACAAAGTTTACTATTTTACTAAATCTAAACCCAAAAAAAAGATTCACAATGATTAACTTACACTTTTTATGAGTTACAAAAAAAGTGAAAAAACAATAAATAAAAAAAAAGTTATCAAGTAAATTGTACTCGTAGTTTATTGGATCAGTTTTATTGTACAATCTCTTGATACTTCATATAAAGGTTTTTTTTTGTTGTTGTAATATTAATGTTCATAGTAATCGTACTAGCTTGATAATTAAAGTGATGTAATTATGCAAAAGAAGTCAATTTATCTAAGCACATAGTTTTTTTTAAAATAAAATATAGATGCATATAAATAGTATGGATTATCTAACTATCTACAACAATAAATTTACCAAAGATCTTTGTAACGACTCTGTTAAATTTTGAATGACTAAAACAACCAATTCAATGATCTTAGGCTGTGAATGAATTAATATTAGTCGGTGGAATTGGAGTCAAATAATATAATCTTGGTAAATTATAGTGCACATGCCGTTGTAGGTGGTCACGAAACAAACTTGCGCATGTCAATTAACTTGCAAAAATAATTTTGAGACTCTGTTCTATTCGCTTAATCTTGTGTTTTGGCTGCAAATCAACAGCTAAATTCAACGCAACTACATACCTACCGTTTATAACTTAGACAATTCACGCACATCGCACGGTGCTCGGCACCACCGACAATATAATAGCAAATTAACAAGCTTAATTTGGAGAGAATCTATACACCAAGTCATGAACCATCATATCATATCGAATTATCGATTAGGGTGAACACGACAATGGATATCTAATCATCTATTATACGAAGTATACAATAGTGGCCTGGCCGTCATGAGTTTATTACCTTCCTTTAATTTAATCTAATTACATCCGAATGTTATTACTTATATTAGATCATGTGAATGAGATATGACTTACGGGCGGAATATAATTTTGGAACGAAGGAAGCAACAACAGGTAATAACTAATAACATTGTCGCAAAACAGTTTATCACAGGATTCACAACTCATTAGCATGCACTGTCAAAATATGGTTGCTTATTTAATCTCAACCACTCGAAGAGGAAACAACTCTAGGCATAAGTTGCTAGGTGACAATAATCAAAATCCAAACAAGAAGAAAAGCAACCTAAAAAAATGAATGAAAGTAGCTTAGATCGATATGAACCAGAATTACTGCTTCTTTAACAACAAAGGTCCAACATTGTCACCAGTAGCTTTGTTGTGCTTCATATGACTCCCATCACACAAAGGAAATGTCCCTGATCTCCAACACCTGCAACGTAAGCTATGTGTTAGTGGGCTCAAAGAAGTCCAAAATCATATTGTTATTATTGGGCCGCTTCAAATGTTATGCTCACATGGGCTCACGTAATAGAGGTTATCTTGTTACTAACTAAAGTTGTCAAAAATTGGCCCAAGAAAACAACCCATTTCAGTTACTACCTCCGTTATAAGTTATGTGCAACTATTAGACATTTTTCTTCTCTGTTTTATGTCAAATCGTTGCACATAACCTGTAACGGAGATAATATATTTGATAAGATTCACACCCGTAATTGAATGATCATAGCTAAAACTAATCCAAGCCTAACAACTCAATTGTCACCCCTATATTGAGTACTTAAGAAGGGAATTACGTTGATATTTAAGTGACTGATAATATAAAGTGAGAACGATGTTAGATACAGTATAAGTATCTATTATATATAGATGTAACCACACGGTATCCTTAGAATAGTTAGAAATGCCCAATAGATCTATATCCTTATTATATTGTCATTGGCTTATTATTAAATAAATAAGGATACAATTTCTCATGTTCAAATAACACATACAATATTATTTGGCAATTTTGAACATCAATTTTAAATACCATAAACCAATAACTATTTAACAATTCTTTACTTTTGTATGGATAATTTCCAAAGACACTTAATTATAACAACAAAGGTTATAAGAATTTTAAAAAATTAAGCTAGATAAAGTCAAGACAATATTTTATGTACAACCGAAGCACATTTATTGGGAAAAAATCTTCTACAAATAGTCAAGAATATAGTGTATGAAATTATAATGAAATAGAGTAATAATTAGCATAAGAACCTGCAATAGGGGGTGATATTCTTGGAGAGCTCAGTAACAACAACAGAATCAACAACTTTCTCTTCAGTTTTCCTGATTTCTGGGTTAATTGTTTCTGCCTTTACCACAACCATCCTTCTTCTCTGTTGTGAACCAACTGATGGTTTCGTGCACCCAAACCCATTAACATTGCTAAATATGTTAAGAGAAGAAGCCATTTTCTTTGGTAAAATTATTGAAAGGAATTAAAAAATGTTTGTTTTGTTTAGAAAGGATGCCAAAATAGTTAAGAAAGATATAAATTATTATATGAGTAAAAGGAAGAAGTGTATTTATTTTGAACGTGTGGAGAGCACACTCTTTGTTGTTGATCATGTATAAGAGTTATCAGTGGATCAATCATCGCCACGTCATTCTTTTTGGCAAATTAAAGATTTTGCTACCCCTTTTCTTGTGTCCTTAGATAAGGATTAAGAAATGAGGGGTCTTAATCATTAAGGACATCAACGCATCTTAACTTGAGGACCTCATGATACACTAGAATACGGTTCGAGCTCTGGAGGCAGTGGACCAAAAATATTTGTTCAGATAGACAAGCTTCGTGCTTTGATTGATTCAATCCCGATATATTTTGAATTGCGTATTAGAAAAAAGTACTATATTGAGTACGAGAGTGAGAGATATTTCAAGTGGTTAGAACTCCCTTCCCTATTTCAAGAGATTTTGGGATCGATTCTCATCAATCACACTTGTGGCTCTCTAAACACCAAAAGACATAATCTTGGGCCAAACTACCAAAATTAACTTCGGTCAAACAGACTGAGGAAAAAAAAAACAATCAATTGAGCAAGAATTTCGGAAAAATTAACACTCTAGTACTCTAATGTGTACCCCTAACAAAAATGCAAGCATGTTTTTCAACAAATATGTTAGCAACACTCTACTTATCAATGAGTTATGAAGCTCTTCAGCTTTGACAAGGACTCCACTTTGAGGCTACCTTTAGACCCCGGACTCCTGAACATCGAGCGACTATTATTCTGATTATCACAAGAAGAGAAACAAATAACTATGACAGTCAGATTATCAAAAGTCTCGAGCCTCAAAGCCTCTCTGAGTAGCTCCTCAGCACATAGTTGTGGGTCATTGTGCTTCCTTAATCCATATCGCACAAGGCCTATGGCTCGTTGACTTGATATGACATCCCAGATTCCGTCACACCCCATTACAAGAAACTCGTCATCTTCAGTCAAGATAGTCTGTCTTAGTTCAGGTTCGGCAATGAGGGGTGCGGCTGAGCCCTTAGGAAGCTTCATTTCCCAGTCCCCTAGTGCCCTTGTCACTGCTATAACACCGTTTAGATACTCTTCATCTACATAGCCACCTAGCTCTTCAACTCGTCTCTTTTCTGATGGGTATGTAGGCTTGTGGTCATGCGACATATCTATTGCTTCTCCTTTTCGACATAGGACAGCACGACAATCACCAGCGTTTGCAACCAGCAAGAACCTGAAAGAGAACCAGGACAACGATGAATGATCAAATACAGCTTCATTGAAAGTTTAAACTCAACTAAACTAAACTAAACCGAGCAGCACCTAATACAACACGAAAACAAGGAGACATATGTACTGTAATTAAAAGAAAGAATACCTTCCCAAAATCAAAGCTGTAAGAGCAGTTGTTCCTGTACGAGAACTGATGCTGCTATCTTCAAAAATAGCTAGATCTGCAAGAAGAAAGGCATTGCGGAGGCAATTCTCCACTTCTTGAAGATACAAGTCGTTCAATTCAGAGTATTCGGGAAATTTCACATCTTCAAAAAAGAACCTTTTCACATTTTTCCTGACATAAGCTGCTGCTTCAGGACCTCCATGACCATCAAAAACCCCAAAAAAAGCACTTGGCTTGGGACAACTAAACATTGAGTCCAAGTACAGAGAAAGATCATCAATCCTTATATGTTCATCCTCCCTACGCTTACGTGGCCCGATATCAGCAGAGCTACCTGAGCAAATATTTGGTACAAACTGCAGTACATCAGATGGGGTCTTTTTATCCTGAAACAAGATAGGATTCTTCTTATTAAAATTAATTAGAATAAATAAATTATAAACAATTTCAGAGCAACTCCTAACTCCAACTAGGCAACTACACATATCAGATCATATGTTCCAAGTCAAATCCCTACATTGTGGGCAATCTAATTAAGATATCACGCACTCAGAATTCTGATGAGAACAGAATCAAAACATAAGCAGTTTAATTAAAAACTAATAATAATAATAATAATAAAATTAAAAAAATTAAAATGCTTCATTGATTTGATGAAGGAAATAAAATTAAGCTAGTTCTACAAGCATTGAAAAACAGACTAACACATTCTAAATTTGCTATTGACAATTCAAATTATCATGTATGATAGTCCATATATATAGATTATTTCAATTAGGGTTATGATAAACCAATCTCAGAGATGGGTACAAAGTTATTTACTCGATCGATTAAAGCAGTATAATGTATAATTAGGGCCTGTTCTCATTGACTGAACTGAATTGAATATTTTATAAGAGAAGGAAATTAGGAGCTGAGCTCAACTGAATTTTAACCTAAGAGAATAGGCCCTTAGTCTATTCAATAACTTTAAGGGGTTATGAATGCAATAAACTATCAAAATTTAAACGCTCAAGTTTTAATCCCATGAATTTTGAGTTTCACACACAACAGTTCTGCCAATCTTATTAATAATTCCATCACCTAAACTTTCAAGCTCAATTCTCGTTTTGCAACTCTCAATCTCTGGAAATTAACATCAATCATACAATCTAACGATGATATGTAAAATTAAATGAACAATATCACATAATTATCAACAACAAATAAAGACATGGAGCAAAAAGGCCAAAAATAATTGTAAAAAAATAAAAACTTACAGCTTGTAAGCAAGAGACGGCAATATTAGAGTTAACGACTTCAGTTTCTGCAACCATATTCTTAATATTTTCAATGAAATTCCAATTATAGACAACAAACTCACACAAGTTGTTGGTAGAAAAGTTTTAGAAAATCAAGTGAATATCATAATATTAGCTCTGAAAAAACAAAACCCAATTCAACATCACAACCAAATCCCTTGATAAAAAGAACTACTGTACAATCGAGAGATAACAAACCTGAGTTTAGGCTTTGCCGCCATTGCAAATGTCTGATTCTCACTCTCTCTCATTCTCACTCTCTCTCATTCTCTCAGGTTGAGTTGCTGCTATGGAAGTATTAAACTTTGGGTTTCCAAATATTTGTTTTATTATGGGCTGGGTTGAGAGAGCCCATGTTGCATAGATAACTTCGTTTTTAAGAGATACAAGCATACAACTATACAAGTACTCTACTACTTTAGGAGTTAGGACTCACGGTCTATTTAAAAATTACTATAAACAATAAATATTTAGTAGTATTAAAAACAATTGACAAAACATACCTATATAATTTATAGCGTGAACAAACAAAAAGTTGATGTAATGTAACGTTGCAATCACAATCTTTTTTTTAGTTGATACACTTTTATTTTTACGGTTTACTAAACAGTTTTTTAAAAGAAGAGAGATAGAGAGAAAAATAAATTGGACTCATGTGGGTAGGAGAAACATAGAGAGAAAAGAATGTCAAAAATGGAAGTGTTGTAACTAATTAGAAATTTCCAAAATAGAAAAGCGTAGCAACTTAGCAGAAACATAGAAAGTAATAAATTATGACATAAATACGAGGAAAAAAATCATTAAAGAAGGGCCTGTTTTCATAGACTAAACTCTGAATTGAACTGAGCTGAGCTGAGCTGAGCTGAGCTGAGCTGAACTGAACTGAAATAAATATTTTGTAAGAAAAAGAAATTAGGAGTTGAATTGAACTGAAATAAATGTTTTATAAGAGAAGGAAATTAGGAGCTGAACCGAATTGAACTGAAATGAATATTTTATAAGAGAGAAATTGAGAGCTGAACTGGACTAAACTGAAAATAAAAGTATTAGAACAGGCCCGAAGTAAATTAAAACCAAAAAACGTAGAGAGAGAATAATGTTGAATTGAACCTGTGTTCTCATTTGCTTTGCCTTTTTTTTCTTCATCTCCTATAGTTGTTATAGAAACTTGAACGATTATTATTTAATGGAGGCAGATAGCTATTGAATGAGATTGTCCTTCTACACATGATCACTGCTTATAAAGGGTAAATATCAGTATATTTTATGTAAAATTACACAATAAAATAATTATAGAATGTACAGTTGATCGAGAAGTTTTTATTAAAAATAAAATGTCATGATTATATAGTATATGTAATAAAATTAATAGTTATACTAAATTAGGACTTGTTCTCATTTACTGAATTGAGCTAAATTGACCTGAACTGTATATTTTATAAAATAAGAAAATAAAAAACTAAACTAAATTGAAAATAAGATGAAGTGAACACGCCCTTAAAGGTAGTAACTTCTCATATCATGGAGGCTTGCTACCCATCCTAAACAACCTCAAAAACAACAACTCAACTCTTACAAAGTTTATCTTTTTATTATGGAGCATATGGAATGAACAAAATTCTATTATATTTTTCGAAGTAAAACATTACATATCCCTTGAACTTTCCACAAAGCGCAATTTGCGTTCAACGAGTGACAATGTCGCACTCTCACAGATACATTTTTAAGCTCGTGTTAACCTATGTAGAGATCCCAAACCATTCCATTCCGCGTCATTAGGTTATTTGAGAAGCACCCTCTCAAACTCTTTTAAACTCAAGTTTGACGGTTCACTAAAAAATAACTCAGCACCAGCATGTGTCATCATTAGAGACAACACTGTTCCCTTATCATATTTAAAAGAGTTATTTACCCAAATGGGAGAATATTATTACCCGAGTAGCTTTAACAACCATGTAAGAAATAGAGTTAGATTTGCACCTAAAAAAGTCAAAACACACAAGAGGGAAAAAGGGAAAAAAGAAAAAGGCACACATCGTTGCCATTTGAAGCAACCAATGGTGATCCCGCTAACATCATAAATCCCAATTAAATTTTATTTGAAATTCCCAATTCCATTTTTTTAACGAACTCAAACTTCCTTCTTTCTTCTCCCTTTTCATTCCAACCTCCCTTCTTCTTCCGCCGGATTCCAGGAGAGAGAAAATTCAACCCTCCTTCATCTTTCTTGCTTCCGAAAATGGCGAATGTGGAACCCTTTTTCAGTTGGAGATTCAGCAGATTTTGGGTTTGTATTGTTTCAATTTTAATGGTTGCTGAAATCGGCGTCAATTTCTGTAATTGCGCGAGATCTGACCAAGAAATGCGGGAGAGATTTTATGGCAATAATATCTTCAATTCTACGCCGCCTGATGGTGAGGGTACTATCGCCAAGATGATCGATCATGTGTTGGAGAAGGAGTTTTCTGAGAATGATCAGCCTGAAGGTTTGATGATTTTTGGTTTTTTTGGTTTGTTTTTAGGGTTTTTGTGGATTTCAGGTTATAATTTAATTGAATGTTGAATTATAGTGTTAGCATTGATGAAAGTTGAGAAAATTGGTGTTTGTTTGGGTTGTTACTCTGATATTGTGTTATAATTTGAGTTGAAGTAGTTTAGTTGTAGTTGAATTAGTGTTGCATTTGATTGCATTGGTATGTAATGTCTCAGGTAATTTTGACTTTAGGAATATGATTTGATTTAAGCATGATTACTACTTCACGGTGCAAGAATGAACACTAAGAGTGAGTATATTTAATTGGGAGCTTATTCGGATGCATTTGGCTGATATGGCTAGTGTGGCGAATTCCTTGGTCCGTTCCTGTGATTGTGTTTGGATGTGTTGCTTTTTGACGAACTTTGACGATGTATGTTCATAATCACATTGTTATGTTTATCTATCTGAGTGAGGATGAATTTGAACAATGGATGGGCTGATGTAGAGACTTTTACATATAAATTGAATCTTAGGGTGACTTTTACTCAATTACGGGGTGATTTTATCACATTGTTTGGATTGAGAAAATTGGAAGGAAAGGAAAAGAATAGAAATGAATGTATTCATCCTCCCTTCTTTGGATAGGAGGGGAAGGGAAAGGAAAGGAAATGAAAGGAAATGAAAGGATTCATTTTCTTTCCCTCTTAATTAACCAAATCCTTCCAATGTTAGAAAGATTTGGAGGGAAAATGTAACCTTACCTTCTCCCCCCCCCTCCATTCCTCCCCTTTCCTTCTTTTTCCGTTTCTTCCCTTTCTATTCCACTTTGCTATCCAAACAAACCGTATATCTTATTTATTTTTTATATTGCGATCCTGCCTTATGCTAAGATTTGTGTAGACAATATGACAAATCATGGAAGGGTCAATTTTTGGTGCTGGTTCAGCCGTGCAGCATATTGTGACCCTTGTGGCCTTGTTTTAGGAATTCTTCTTCTCTTGTTTCAATTTTTTAATATTAATATTTGTATTAGCCAAAGCTGAAAAGTTGGCTTTTTTAGTTCAGTTCTGAAAATTCTTTTTAAAGTTTTTGTTGGAGTTAACACCTTTTACTCAGGGAAGTGATTGCTTTGTGACTTATAATTAAGATTTAAGCTGATACTAGCTGATATCAAACCTCATATATGATGGTTTGATATATTCGTATTTAATGTAGGTCCTAATTTATCTGTGCAAACTCCTCTTCAAGTGTCTTTAATCTCCAAAGTCCAACCCCTCCCAAACTTATTTTTATTTTTTTATAGGTTTATTGTGGGAACTTGTTACTCTAATTTGTCCATGAAATCACTTGAGACCACAAATACCTCTGGATATGGTGATTTTTATTGTCAAATAAATAATATTTACTCTTGCTTCATCTCTAGATTGTGTCTAGGAACTTATCAATTTGTTTTTCTGTGGGTACTGTTCAACATCCAAATTATGTTTTCAGTTTCCACAAGGTCCTCTTTTCAAGGAATTTATAGAACCATGTTTACTTAAAATTTTAATGACTTTTAAGGTCTGCAGTTAATTGATGTTGATGTTGTTTTCCTGATCACTTTATGATGATGATGTCATTTTAAATTCTTTTATGATGTATTTTTCAGGCTCTGATGGAAGTAGTTTCAACACCAGTGTAGCTGACAAGCAAGTAGGTCCACATTCCACAATGCCTCCATATTCTTGGTTCTGATTTCAATAGTTTATAATAGTTATTTTTAAACTTGTTAGATACTCAGTATTTATTACAAGGCTTTATGCTTGAACGGATTTGCTTACATGAAATGTGAAAGTATCTAAATTAAAATCGTACAATGTGGTCTGGCTGCTTTAACATCTTAAGTATTCTGCACATGATGTTCTTTTCCCCCTTGTCTATTAATGAACTGCTGAGTGTAGTCGGTAGACTATTAGGGTCTTATGTAAGATCACAATGATGATGAACAGTAAGCCGATTGTTTATAATGCATTTGGCATGCCATCTGGCATCTAGGTGACTTCATTTAGGACTGTAGTAGACAGGGGAGAGCGAGATGGGCTTGTTATTCTCTGATTAATAAATAAGTTTCGTCATGCAATTTTTAGCTTTTCTAGATCATTAATGAACGATAGAAGAACATATGTATTTACAGTCCGATGTTCAAACTTAATGTTGTCTATCTTGTAAAGTATATGCAAGGTGACATGTTATCCTGTGGATAGCTGGATTAGAGGAAGATAGTAAGGGTTTTGAAAATTTTTAATTGCTAATATGTATTTGGCGCCATATGATCTACATAATTTTATTGTCATATGTCAATGTAGTGATCTCTGTAAACTTGAATGGAATATGATAGCGTATCTAGTTTTTATGAAGCAATTACTTCCTCTGCCCCTAAACAAAGTCTTCCCATTTCCTCGTAGAACTTATGTGCTATTTATAAGCACCATTTCTCATTTTGGGTGGGGCCGATCATCCACTAGGGAAATGAGTTGAAATGGCTTCAAATCCGTTCCAATGTTAGGTTTGGGTTGGACATTTTATGCTATGGAACCTTATATATTAGTATTTAACTCCATTCCAACTCCTTACAATCTCATCCCCACCTCATCCCCTAAGATTCTAAATCCATACCACCCTAGATACAAATTCTAATTAAATACAAATCCATTCCAGTTATAACCAAACTTATTAAACATGATATGGAATTTCCAATCCATTCCAATCTATTTTGTTGAACCAAATGACCCCTAATTTCTTTCTTCACACTCCCTTTTAATAGTCCCATTGGTATTGATATGGTAATGCCCTTTCTTCATACACTCCATTGCATAGTTACATCTG